AGCTCAAGATTGAACCTGAAAAAGGAAAGGTCCAAGACAATGTACTCGCCTGTACATCAGTACATGGATAACACTTACATTTTATTTACGTCTTTCCTCCTCGGGTAGACTACAGCTGATGGAAGCAGATAGTCTACAGCTGCCAGTATCATGGTGGAAGCAGATAGTATCTACACTTATTATCAAATCAGAATTATTTAAAAAAATAAATGAATAACTTTTACAAAGTGTAAAGAATTGAAATCCAAAGTTAAAGAAAATGGTAACTCAGTAAAATATAGAATAGTTCTAAATATTGATGAAAAAAAATGAATTACATGTGTATACTTACCCATGAAATGATTTTTGTGTCTTTGATCTGTTTAATATATATGGAGTGCATATTAACTCTACAACTTACTGAACTGTTACACAACATACGCTTCATGTACACATCATAGAAATGTGACGTTATCTTTTCCCCGCAAGCCCTTTATAGCGCTGTACATGTCTATCGTCAAATTTAGCGTAAAAAATTATGATGTAATATTTTGAAAAGATAATAACTTTTCTTATTTTATGAGATTTTAGTATTTACAAAATGGAATTGGCATTAAATTAACGATTAAATTACTTTTGAAAGTGCTCGAAAAATGCATGATTGCGGGGAAAGGGGATATACATGATTTTGTGTTAAAAACAGAAAGTGGTATATGCGTTAAAATGCGTGATTGCGGGAAGGGGTATAATGTTCATTCTAATTTTATTGTTCTGGTAATTTAGAGCTACCTTGTCTTTTAATGATAATTTGATAGTGTCCACCTTCAAGCTGTCTTACCATTGCATGTCATTAATTTGAATATGAGTTTAAAGTCCAATGAGCTATTCTTTCCAGGTTATATTAGGTAGGCAACATTCAACAAACATGGCTGACAGTGAACAAAAATATTCACTGGGCTCACCTCAAGTTTATATTGAAATGTGTGAAACTCATGAATTACCTATTGATGTTATATGTGAGGACTGTGATGAATTTATTTGTGGTAAGTGTGCCAAAACAGATCATAGAGATCACGAATGAAACACTATACCCACGGCAGCCAGCCAAATGAGAAGAGGTTTACTTAAATTTCTGAGGAAGATTCGGGAAGAAAAATTGCCAGGGATTGATGTGAAACTAGTGAAGATGTCACAGCAGATCAATGAAAATAAAGAAATCGATGCTGATATTAAAAAGCTTCAGAGGCACTATGATGGGATAATGGCCAGGTTGACAAATATGAAAGAGCATAATGAAAAACAAATTAGAGACAGTTTAACGAAAAGCAATGAAAAGTTAGAAGTTAAAAAATCTGAGTTAAACAAAAAGAAGAAGGAAATTGCAGAAATAGTTCAGTTGATGGAGGAAAATAACAGCAGAATGTCAGATTACGGCTTCCTTGACAACCACAGAGAACTGATACAGCTGCTTTCTGGCCTGGATGGTGATATGAAGAACTGTAAACATTCAGTGAGATACAGTAAAGAAGTCATTGATGAGGTACTGGAGAAATTAATTGGAAAGTCATTTAATTTGATATCAGTTTAACTGAAACAAGTTTATTTAAATATGGAGAGAAAGCAGTAGTTTTGTTGAGGGCATTATGTGAAGATCAGTGTTACATAAAACAATTAACGTCAGATTACATTGAACAAGTAAATAACAAAGGAGAGAAAAAAAACATAAATATTATACCCTCTACTAATGACATGCGTGTGACTGATACTGATCATGTTTACGAGGGGCTTTCAATAAATAATGTCATCAGTGCTCGGAAAGAAACAAAAATCGCTTTTCTATGATTTTGTCTTAATGATTTTACTAAAATATTCTCTTTTAATTAAAATACATGTCCATAACATTTTTATTCAATTTCTAATTGTTTTTAGAATACAGTTTTGTGTATGACCCTTCGTATACTGGAAAATGGCAGATCCTATAATTTGCTGTACTTGTTTTTTCTTTTTGAAAGGTGTTTTCCTAAGTTTAGGAAATGAAACAAGTCAAAGATTGAAAGATCTGGCGAATATTGTTCATGTGACAAAACAATAACTTTTTGTTCACTCAAAAACTCTTTTACTATTCATGGCCTGTGGGTTTGGACGCTGTCAGGAAGAAATTTAATATAGTGAATTCCTCATTCTGTTTCCTTCCTCTCAGAAACCTTTCAATTTTGGGCATATATTTTGCTTACTAGACTTTCCGAGAAATTGAACTGCTTCCCTAAAAATATATATTATATATCCAGTTTAGTAAGGAAAAAAAATTCCATCATGTCAAAGAAGATTTTCTTGAAGAAATCATATGCAGATGCAGTCAAAGGTATGCTTTTATTCGAATATCTCATTTTGTATAAATAAATTTTGTATAAATTGTATAAATTAATTTTGTATAAATAAAAAATAAAAAACAGAATATTTTTTTTTTTCAAATCTGTATTGCATGTAATTCCATAGTTAATACATGTCTTACACGTACATCAGATTAAAGTAGAAAAAAAATTCCCGGTAACCCTTAAGTTTTATTATTTAATATGCAGTATTAATAAATGATTAGTACCAGCTCTAAAATATAAATGTATTTTTTATTTTATTTATTATTTATTTATTTTACAATTTTTAGGGAGTGGCGAAAACTCAGATGACTTCGAAAATGAAGTCCTGGAGGATTATCACCCAGGAGAGAGCATTATTAAGCCTCAATGGACTGGTTTTACCTACTCAGAAATTTTGGATTCTGAGGCCAGTTCCTCATAGAAACTTCCAACCATAAACAGATTGGAAAAAAAACCAACACTGAAGAGGATGATTCTTGCGACAAAGGTTATTGATGAGGATATTGATGAAATAATTGAAATCTTATCATCACCAGAAAAGTCACCTTTCAAAATCTGCGAACTATCTGATTCATCATCTACATCACCCTCATCCCTGAAAAAAGCTAGACGACGGCTGCTTAGAGACGAAGACTCTCCATTACAGGAACCCATAGCTATTTCCTCTGAGCCTGAAAGTGAGTCTGACTCCCTGCCCAGTATTGACTCCCCACTCTTTGAAGTTCCACCTTCTTCACCTATGCCATTATCATCTCGTTCAGCGTCACCATAAGCCTTTCTTCCTCACTTGAGACAAAACGACCCCTTAAGGTGGTATGGGATACCAAACGAAATTTCTGCTATATATTCATGTACCCAAATTAGGAGGATTTGAAATGCCATCACGCATCAGTATGTTAAATCGTAATTTTGATAATTTTTTTTATTATTTTAATGAGAAATACAAAACTGATTTTTTATCATATAATTCTTATATCAAAAGCTTAATATTATAGGAAGAAGTTTTCTTATATCAAGTGTATATAAAAACAAAAATGACAAGAAATATGTCTTCGTATTTTTTTTTTTAAAAAAAAAATAAGCGTAAAAAACTGGGAAAACTTCATTTCTTGAAAACAGACGGATAAAATTCCATGAAAATCTACAATTAAAATGTATATTAATATGTCGGCAAATTGAAATAAAGAAATTGAAAATATATATATATATATGGAAAATTTCAGATGCATTTAAATATATTTGGATTAAAAGATCCGATCGGAAGAATTATCTTTCTTTATTTTCCAGGGGTTGAAAAAATCTGGGTGTTATTTAAGAAATGATTCAACATTTTAATTATCACCGATATAAAAAATCGCACTTTCTTTCGTTGGTAGTCTTTAACTTAGAACTGTTTTGAAGACAATGCCCGGACAATCGCTTTCAAAACGTGTCTCATTCAGATCGAGCCATTGCATTCATTTAAAAGTATTCGGCCTATATCCAACAGCTAGCTGATTTGTGACCAAACAGTTACTTCTTGAATTCAATAACAAAGACGACCAGTCCTGGTTAACGTGATAATTGACTGGTAATTATTAAGCACAATGTGAAATCCTCATACTTATCCATGCCTGGGGTAGTGGACAGTTAAACAATTGAAAGACATATTTTCATTAATAGTGTTCAAAAGCTGCAATGTTCAAACTATATGATTTACAGAGTTTGCTTTTTAAATGTCCATGGTACAATTAAAAGTAAAGTTATATACTTTTTTGTCTATCTTATCTAAAATGCCGACTTATGTGAACTTGCATTGAATTAGCTACAGTTTGTTCTTTTGAACGGTGTATCTACAATTTTTGACCCGATAATACGCGCTCATGCAAATCAAAACAATATTTCAAACGGAAGTACGTCATAACATGGAGATATCCCATTCTACCTTAATGCCAGTTTATAAGAGATCATCAAAGGGTGTGGACACAAAAGAAGCTGTCCAAACTTTACTTAGTATTCGAGATGAAAATAACATTGCCAAAAACATTCCATCACATATCAATGAAAATATTTCATTTGTATACAGTATCAAATTTATTGGACATTGGAAAAATGTTTTATGTGATGGAATGGGGTCATGGAAACAAACCGGAAAGCAAACAAATACTGTCAATACTCATGACATTGGTTACGACATTTCAAGTGAAATGAAAGATGATTTGAAAGATTGTCTAGCGTTAAAATCAATTAGACATAAATTTGTGAACAATACACAACCTGATCTACACAGAATTGTCATACATCTTGAAAAAACTGATGGAACTGTACTTGATCGGGTATTTGTTCAATACTATTTCGGTAAGGAACCCAATTACTTTCAGCCTAATCCACATAAGAACAGTAAAAAAAATGAAAGCTACAGGCGAACAAATGAAACAACAAAGTTGAAAATTAAATGTCTGATAAATGATGATAAAATGAAACCTAAGGCAGTTTTCCACAAAATAGTTGAAGATCAAGGTGGTGTTGAAAATGCATTGGGAGGTGCATATTTACCAAGAGACAGGCAGCAAATAAGAAATTTTGTGAGAAATTCTGAAGAAAAAAAAATCATGATTCTATCACAAAATCACAAGAAAAGGTTAAAAACATCTTTGTCCGTGAAGTACGTTGTGTGCCTGAATTTACAGTGTTCATGGCTACTGATCGTCAAATAAGAGAAGTACAGAAATATTGTACAAATCTGAAGAATTTTTCTGTCTTAGGAGTAGATACAACATTTAACATTGGGGCTTTTCTGTAACATTTACAACGTATCGAAATACCATGCTATTAACCAAAAAAGGCACTGAACCTGTGATGATTAGGCCAATTTTAATACACCAGAGAAAAAACTTTGATAGTTATTTCAAACTTTCTTCTTCAATTTTGCAAATATGTCCTGAAATGAAATCCCTTAAAGTGTTTGGGACTGATGGAGATAAGAATTTATCAGATGCATTTGAAGTTTGCTTTACATCAGCAAAACACTTATTATGCGATATTCACATGCAAGACAACATTGAAAGAAAATTAAAAGAACTTGGAATTCAGAAAAAAGAAGCTAAATCATACATTGAGGATATATTTGGAAAAATATCTCATGAGACTAAGATCAAGGGTTTAGTTGATTCCATGAGTCCAGAGGAATTCGACGAAAAGTTGTCTAGTTTACAAAATGAGTGGAAGTCTCGTCATTCCAGCGGATTATCATTTCTGGACTATTTCTTGGAACATAAAGCTGAACTTATCAAAAATTGTATGAATGCAGATTTGCGAAGTTTAGCTGGACTTGGCTACCCTCCTCAACCATACAACCAAAATGCAAATGAGTGCATGAATGCTATCATTAAAGGAGATCTAAGAAAGAATGAGGAGGGAAAATTAAAAATGAGTGAGAAAGACTTCGTTATTTCTCTGGAAAAAATCGTTAAAAGACAGGAAACAGAAGTTAAATTAGCTTTAATAGGAAAGGGTGAATACAGACTGAAAACTGAATATCAACATTTGGAAGTTACTGAAGATATTTACTGGCGAAAGTCTGTGACTCAAAGAGAGGCTGTATTTGAAAAGTAAGTGCTAGAATGTTAAATTTCATTAACAAAATAAAGTTCAACATATTAGACCTCTTTCCTTTTCAAAGTTACACTATTTTATAATACTAAAGAGCAATATATGATAAGTGTCACCGATGGTCCTTTAAAATTAATATCTTAATTTTAACTTTAGTTTGTACAGCTATACATGTGACCTTTATTAGTCATTTTCAGTTTTAGAAATAAGACATCATAATGTTAACATTTTCCCACTATTTTAGCATATTTTGTATAAAACTGCTTATTTGCAAGCAGTTTTTCTTCCAGAAAAATATAGCACGCAGCTTAGAACAAACTTTTAATTTTTACAAAAGATGAATCTATCCAATACTTACGTGTATTAGTGAAAGAAAAATTTGTATGTTCCACAATGCGCTCTATGTTTTCCACATAAAAAAAATCAAGAAAAAGGCATATTTTGGTTTTTTTGTTATATAGCAAAAATAGCATTACCGGTACTTATCATGACATTTACAGCCATTTAGTGCATATAAATGTGAAAAATATTTTGAAAATATTTCCAAAATAACAACATTGTCTTCGTTTGTAAGGCTCATTATATAAATTGCATTCTAGAAGAACTTGGATTTAATTCTTCAAGTGGTAATCCTACTTATACTCATACTTCTTTTTCTAAGGAAGAAATTCTTCAAAATCACCTGTCAGTTTTGAATACTTTTGATATTCCACAGAGCCAAAATGAATTTGAACTACCTTATATATATTGGATTCCGAAACTTCATAAGAATCCTTACAAACAAAGATACATTGCACGTTCCAGTAAGTGTTCAACCAAGCCTCTTTTGTTACTTCTCACTAAAATATTGACTGTAATGAAAGAAAAACTTCAAGAGTACTGTACAACTATATATTCAAGAAGTGGAGTGAATCAGATGTGGATACTTAAAAATTCTAAATAACTTTTGGACAATTTGAAATCACAGGACTTTACAAAAATCAACAGCTTAAAAACTTATGACTTTTCAACTTTATACACAACAATTCCCCACGACAAATTAAAATCCAGGCTTTTTGATATCATTGACAGCTGCTTCTTCAACAAAAATGGAACTCGTAAATTTACTTACCTTGTCATTGGTCATTTGAAAAATTATTTTGTTAAAGCAGATTCTGATTGCACACATAAGTACTCTGAAGTTGAGAACAAGAAGATGCTTGAGTTTCTGATTGACAATATCTAAGTGGTTTTTGGAGACCAGGTATTCCAACAATCTATTGGAATTCCCATGGGAACAAATTCCGCTCCGTTATTAGCAGACTTATTTTTATATTCATATGAAGCAGAATTATGCAAAATCTTATGCGTGAAAAGAAGAAAACACTTGCTGTTGCCTTCAACTCGATATATAGATACGTTGACGACGTACTGTCGATTAATAATGATAATTTCCATTCCTACGTCGACACGATATATCCTGGTGAGCTTGAGATAAAAGATACCACAAGAGTCCGACACTTCTGCTTCATGCTTGGATATTTTACTTGAAAAAGACACTAATGGTAATTTAACAACCAAGCTATATGATAAACGTAATGACTTTAACTTTTTTATCGTCAGCTTCCCTTACTTATGCAGCAATATACCTTCATCACCTGCATACGGAGTATATATATCTCAGTTGATTCGATACTCAAGAGCATGCTCTACGTATGAACAATTTCTTAAACGAGGTATATTATTGACAAGCAAGTTGATGAAACAAGAATATCAACAGTCTCGTTTAAAGTCATCATGTCTTAAATTCTATAATCGATACAATGACCTTGTCAGCAAATACAATTTATCATTGAATGAAATGCCGACTGACGTTTTTCATACCAATTGTTAGTCCATTATTTATACACTGAATTGACGACTGGTTTTTTTCGTTATTTCCTGATTATGACAAAGAGCATACGGCGGGTGTGGTGTGACCGGTCGGCAGGGGATGCTCACTCCTCTATGGCACCTGATCCCACCTCTGATGTTTCGGAGGTCCGTGTTTGCTCTGCTCTTATTTTGTATATTTGTTTAATGGACGTTGAGATTGAATACTGTTCGTTATCTCCACATCCATCTTGTACAAAATAAATATCAATTAAGCATATCTGAATATAATTTTATAATCTTGATTTTTAGAGGGCCAAAATTGGATCATTTCATATAGGGTCCTTTTTTAAATTTATGTTATGTTTTAATGGTATATTGGGGTAAATATCAACTACTTTGTAGATGTAATAAATAATAGGATAAATTTCTCATTAACAGAATGCTCCGAGAACCTCTTAAATCAAAAGGAGATGAAACAGTGGTAGAAAATAGGCCTGTTGACGATGCTGCCCAGTCTTTATTCACCTCATATCCGTCTGCCGAATCCACAGATATAACCAACATTCCATTTCCAATACTTGAAAGCATCTTCCAAGATTCTAAAATAATTTTTCAGTCTTCAAATGGAATCGTTCAAATGCCTGGGTGTGATGACAAATCTGCATTTTTTGTCCTGAACAAAAACCAAACAAGTGATCCATTTAAAGTGCACAGGTCTAAATGCACAACCTTATTCACGTGTGAAATGAAATGCCATCGCTACAACTGTTACAAGCTTTGTGAGCATACAACTGCAACAGCATTTTATTGTAATTTATTAACGGATTACATACAACAGTATAAGAAGAAACACAACAGTGAAAGAAATCTAACAGCAATCTCCTTAACAGGCATGCCACGGAATAGAGGCAAGAAACCAAAGGGTACATCCATTAGAAAAGGTAGAAATAATAAGACCTTTACAGAAGTCATGGACTATGCTGTTTCGAAGAAAAGTAGTTTAGAACAACCATTTCACCTCACATTTCTCGCGGGTTTAGTGAATAAATGCTATGGATGTGGACAGCAATTTTCAGATAAGTTGCGAGCTCCACCAAATGACCTCGTCCTAAAGCGGTATGATCACAGAAAGTATCTTAGTCGTAATTCAAAGACACAGAGAGTATCGGCCTCATTATAAAATACCTATTACCATCTGAATTCTGATTGCTGTCGAAGACACTGTCCGATGTTTGAAATATGCCGTGATGTCAATATTCACTCAGAAATATCATCCCAATTATTTACTGCACACAAAAACAATTTTGAAAAATTAAAAATAATTAGTTAATAGATTCAGTAGTAAGTGAGCTGATTTTTATATTAAAGAACTCTGACCATTAACTGTTTTAGCTCACCTAAGCCGAAGGCTCAAGTGAGCTTTTCTGATCACATTTTGTCCGTCGTCCGTCCGTCTGTCCGTCCTTCCGTCTGTAAACATTTCTCAATTTCGACTTCCTCTCAAGAACCAATGGGCCAATTTTAACCAAACTTGGTACAAAGCATCCTTAGGTAAAGGGGAGTTGCAAATTGTTAAAATAAAAGACTAAGTCTCCTTTATCAAGAAGAGACAAAAATGGGGCCGGTCACTAAAAAATCTTCTCAAGAACCACTGGGCCAGGAAAGCTGAAACTTATGTGAAAGCATCCTTCAGTAATGTAGATTGTAAATTATTAAAATAATGACCCCCGGGGGTAGGGCGGGGCTGCAATAGGGAATCCAAGTTTTACATAGAAATATATAGTACAAATCTTTAAAAATCTTCTCCTCAAGAACCACTGGGCCAGGAAAGCTGAAACTTATGTGCAAGCATCCTTGGGTATGGTAGATATAAATATCTAAAATCATGACCCCCGGGGGTACGGCGGGGCCACAATAGGGAATCCAAGTTTTACATAGAAATATATAGTACAAATCTTTAAAAATCTTATTCTCAATAACCACTAGGCCAGGAAAGCTGAAACTTATCTTGAAGCATCCTTGGGTAGTGTAGATATTAAATTATTAAAATCCTGGCCCCCAGGTGTAGGGCGGGGCTGCAATAGGGAATCCAAGTTTAACATAGAAATAAATAGAACAAATCTTTAAAAATATTCTTCTCTAGAACCAATGGACCAGGAAAGCTGAAACTTATCTGGAAGCATCCTTGGGTAGTGTATATATTAAACTGTTAAAATCATGACCCCTAGGGGTAGGGTGGGAGAACAATAGGGAACCCAAGTTTAACATAGAAATATATAGAACAAATCCTAAAAAATCTTCTTCTCAAGAACCACTGGGTCAGGAAAGCTGAAACTTATGTAGAAGCATCCTTTGGTAGTGCAAATATCAAATTGTTTAAATCATGACCCCGGGGGGTAGGGCGCGGCCACAATAGGGAATCCAAGTTTTACATAGAAATATATAGTACAAATCTTTAAAAATCTTCTTCTCAAGAACCACTGGACCGGGAAAGCTGAAACTTATCTGGAAATATCCTCTGGTAGTGTAGATATTAAATTGTTAAAATCATGATCCCCGGGGGTAGGGTGGGGCCACAATAGGGAATCCATGTTTTAGATAGAAAAATATACTACAAATCTTTAAAAATCTTCTTCTCAAGAACCACTGGACCGGAAAAGCTGAAAATTATCTGGAAATATCCTCTGGTAGTGTAGATATTAAATTGTTAATATCATGACCACCGGGGGTAGGGCATGGCTACAATAGGGAATCCATGTTTTACATAGAAATATATAGAACAAATCTTTAAAAATCTTCTTCTCAAGAACTACTGGGCCAGGAAAGCTGAAACTTATGTGCAAGCATCCTTGGGTAGTTTAGATTCTAAAGTTTTAAAATAAAAAAGGGAAGGGGGTTGTTGGGCATGATAGGTATAGCAATAGGGGGAATCTGGTAAAAATCTGCATCACCCAAGTTACTCAGGTGAGCGATGTGGCCCATGGGCCTCTTGTTATTTTTCTTTTCTCTAAAAAGAAAAAGAAAAAGACATGATAAAGAAATGACCTATATATATGAGAAACAAATTGGGGGCATGAAACCCGTGCTTTGATTGAAATTTTGTTATGCTGTTTTATAACAGATGCTAAGTGCAATTGAAACTGTTTGATTCACACTGCTATCTGCAGTAACCAATGAGGTTTTGACAGATTTTTTAGTATAGGCATCAAATATCTGAAGGGCAAAAAGTTAAAATTGCTAAGGGCTAGATCACCTAAACTTCTGTGAAAGCTAAAAAAGATATTTTAGTGTACAGAAGCGAATCTGTCTCCTCTTTTGTTGTTGATATAACTCAAAGTCATGTTAAACTTATCTTTTTATTCCTAAATTTCATTTTCAGTTGTCATTTAATTGTTTCTTCTTTTTGTGATGTAAACATACAGAAGCTTTTGCAGGTTCTACAGCAATGTTTTATATAATATACTTTTTAATTGATTTTAATTTGTAGAGAAAGTGATCTGCGATGTGTAATGCATGATATAATTGCCTGCAATAAAATTTTTACGACATACCAGTATCTAGACTCAGTATTTAATTCTGACAGGCACTTATTATCACTGATGGAGAGCTCTACAAACAACCCAGTTGTATTCCATTTCTAAAATGATTGAGAGATAAAACAAGCATATGTATTAAAATTGACACAAGAGGCTCCACCCCTTGAACTCTCTGACCCTCCATTTCATTTGAATGATTGTTATTATTCATATGGAGTTTATTTTCTCAAATCAGTGAGTAGAAACGTTACTCAGAATGTTGTTCCTTTGTGGTCTTGATATGGTTATATCATGTTTCCTATTCTTATTGAATGTTTTGATGTTTCAAAGTATAAAAGTAAATTTGCAACTTGCATTAAAATTCAATTTTAACTTGTGATTCTTTTCAAAAATAAATATTGAAATGTTCCAATTGCTAAATATATATATACTTTATCTATTCTCATGTATCCTTTTCAAAAGGGAGACATATTGTATATTCTTGTTCTTTGATTTTAATGCTAGATTCCATCAAAATATTTATCACCCCTCCCCCCACCCCCGCCCTTAAAGGTATATGAACAAAGATTTGAAGTTAATATTTTTCTGTATAATATTACTACTTTTATACATGTACTCAGATAGCATTTCACACAAAAATATATTAAAAATTTTATTTCGTCTAAAAGTTATTAAAACGTCAAATTTTTAGACGGTTTTGATTTTAATTTTATTCTTAATACTTAGGAAAAGTGGCAATCTCGTTGTAAATTAATGACAAAAAGTAGAACTATAATTCAGAAAATTCAGAAGAGAAATGTTCGAAATCAAAACATACACACAGTATATTGTCAGTCCGTGCAGTTGTGGTGAGTAGACTAGAACAATTACCCGGTGAAGTGTAAACATGAACAATTACAAAGCCCGTGTCCTGTTAACAAAAAATGTGTATGTTTCACGGGTTTGACCAATTTGCTAAACTGTGTACTCGACACTTAGCGCGGAATGACGATACTTGTGAAGTGGTTTTGCTTTCTAAAATTTCTACTCTGAATATAATTATTTTTCTGGATTAAATTTTTTAAAATTTCTCTTTAATACACAAAAAATTGCCACTTTTTCGAAGTATTAAGAATAAAAGTAAATTTTTTGAAAATGCAAGTATCTGTCAATCAAACCCATCCAAAAATTTGAAGTTTCAATAACATTAAGATGAAAAAACATTTTAAAAATATTTTTGTCTGAAATGTTACTAAAATATATAAGTTGTGATATTATACAGAATCACTGAAAATATTTACTTCAAATATGTGTCCATGCACCTTTTAGACAGATTATGCTTCAAATACGTGTCATTAAAGTTTTGCATATGAGAATTTGCAATCATGCTTCCGCCTATCAGTACTCTCAGTACTTTGATTTATATACTTGTTGACTATCATATTTTGTTACTAAATAGATTGACATTTCAATTAAAATTTGTGAATTTTTGACAGTGCTGTATGTTTTTGGAACTAGAAAAAATGGCATGACATGATGCTGACAAGATAACTCTCGTTCTTACATTATGTTTGGAAACAGTTGATTGTAATTACTCAATAGATATAGTCAGTATAATTGTTTGTGTTCACAAATATGTCGTTAATTGGTTAAGAGTTTGTAGAAAGTTGTAGGTTTTTAATATTATACTCACTTATTAATTACCTTCGATATAAAATTAAAAAGATTATTAGATTTAAAGCATGTTACACACATTATACCACAAGTATATATAATGTATTGAAAATATGCCTTCCAATAAGTTTGCAGATTGTAACGTAAATTAGTCTTTACTTATACAAGCAAATTCAAAGAAGTGTGGTCCCCCGCTTTCGGTGTCTTTGTGGGTGAGATGTTATTTTTATGACATATTGTGTGTAATACAAACATCCTATCATATGTCATTTATTTAGAAAGTAACATTGAAGTTGATTTTTTTGAAGGATGAAAATCCTAATCCTGACCATTAAAAAGTGATGGCCAAAGTAAAAATTTTTAAAAGTAGGTCAACTCCAAGGTCAATATCAAAGAGTCAAAGTTGTTTATATCCAATGAAAAGTTTTCTCACAGTCCCATCTTTTTTGCCATAACTAGTCCAATGGGCAATACATTTATTTTAATGTCAGTATTTGTACTGTGTATATCTTAGGTACATTTATCTTTGTATACATGTAATGAGATATTTTTTTACATGAGACTTACTGTCTCTCTTGTGCTTAAGATTTTTACGTGTAGCATATGTACTTCAAAATGTAAAATATTTTTTGGCATTTTCAATAATAAATGCTCTTTTTCGACAAACTATGTGTTATGTTATCCGTTTGGCAAAAAACAGAGCAGAATAGACTCATGGCTAAAAAGGTATATCTATTATATTAGAAGATGATGGTATAACATATGTGAAGTATGAAAGCCCCAGCCCTTACTGTTCAAAATTTTTGGTCAAAGTTAAAGTTTTTCATAAGTACATAAATCTTTAAGGTCAAGGTCATAGTTGTTGATATCCAATGAAAGGACTTGCCACAAAAAATACATATGTAAAATATAAAAGTCCTAGTATCTACCGTTCAAAAGTTGTGACCAAAGTTAAAGTATTTTTAAAAAGTAGTTAAAACTCCAAAGTCAAGGTCAAAGGTAAATGTTATTGGTATCCAATGAAAGGTCTTCTCAAAAGGATCACAAATGTGAAGTACAATAGCCCTAGTCCTCACCGTTCAAAAGTTATGGTCAAGGATAAAAATTTTTCATAAGTACATAAATCTCCAAGGTCAAGGTCAAAAGGTCAAGGTTGTTGGTATCCAATG